TCATTTAAATAATGGTCACCCAGGAACACAGAGGTTATTTACAACAATAAAACAAAAATATTTTTGGCCAAATATGTTCAAAGAATTGTATGAATATGTTTTTAAATGTGTTGATTGTCAGTCACGTAATCTTACAAAAATAAAAGCACCTATGGGCGAAACAAGAGTACCAATGTATTCATTCCAGACCATGAGTATCGACGTTATAGGGCCATATGAGAAAACAATGAGTGGTAACCGCTACATTATTTGTTTTATTGACCTTTACAGTGGTTATCCCGAGTGTTTTCCTACTGCTGACAAAAGTACTGATACAATTATACATTTACTTTTAGAAGAAATTTACCCTAGATACGCATGTCCATTACAAATTGTCACTGACAATGGATCAGAATTCACAAGTAATGCTTTCAAAGAAACACTTAAAGCGTTAAGAATTGATCACGTGCGTACAACTACCTATCATGCTGCCGGAAACGCGAAAAATGAACGTTCTCACCATGTCATACATGATATCTTAGCTAAAAGAATCCAGGGAAATCTCAAACAATGGGATATTCATCTTAACATGACACTAGCCGCACTTAGATTCAATGTCTCTAGGACTTCGAAGCATAGTCCATTTTATTTGTTATATAACCGTGATGCAATTCTCCCGGTGGACCTGTTGCTACAACCAAGGCAGCGCTATCATGGCGAAGAGTATCACAAAATTGCATTACAAGAACAACATAATACTTTTCTATCTGTTTATAAGAACCTTAAAAAAGCAAAACGAGAACAAGCTAGCTATGCAGATAAGACCGCAAAAGATATCAAATTTGAAATAGGCGATCCCGTATTTTATAAAAATTTTCGTAAGAGAAGCAAACTAGATGTGAATTGGAAGCCATTTTATAGAATTATGGAGAAAAGGTCACCATTAACTTATATAATAAAAAATCAATTTGACAATTCAACAGTTAAAGTCCATGCAGAACAAATTAGGCTTGCAAATATTAATGACTGGTCAATACCAAAAGCAGATAATACAGGCAGACCAAAAAGAAATGCCACATTTGTAGTTACACCTGAAAATAGCGATACTGATGATGCTTCAGAAATACCAGAATCAGTATTACCCCAAGTTGCTAAGAATGTTAGAAAAGAAAGGTCAAATTCTGATAGTGAAGATGATGATATTCCATTAGCCGAATTACAGAAACATCTTCGACAACAACAACAAAGTTCAAATAATGACAATACTCAAAGTAATGCACATTCAGAAGAAATGCAATCGCAGACTGATTCAGAATTATCAGACTCAAATTCCATACAAGTAAATAGCAATCCTCAGTCACAAAGCAGCATATAATGCTATTCAGTCAGATTCAATGGCTGATGATAATGATTCGGATAATGAAATGTTTATAAACTCTATTTTAGTAAAAAGAAAAGTATTGTAAAAACCTCGATATAAAGTATCTGGTAAGGTAAACACAAAAGTTACAAAGTAAAGATAAAGGGTCGAAATCAAGTTTTAAAATGATTTTACAAGGATTAGCTGAATTGTTATAGAACGTTATATTCCGTGTTTATATGCTATACTAATTTTCGGTAAATTGACCTCAGGCATTGTAAATAGTAATTATGGAAAGAAGAAAATATATATGTTAAAAGAAAACATTATAAAACAAAACAGAAAATTACATTATTTAACCATACATCTTTATATTTTTGGTGGTTGTATTCATTTACATTAATTTTCAAGTTGTTTTTATTAGAACTATATATCTTAGATTTTTTTTTATTGATTAAAATGATCGTTATTCGCTATATGTTTATTAATAGATCGGTTAATTAAAATGCATTTCAAAGTAAATGACAGCACTTAATCATGAGTTTCAAATTGATTATTTACTTTATTTCATATTAGAATAACATGTGTATACATACATGTTTCAACTGTCAACGCACAATCATTAAATAAAGTTTAAATTGGGATAAGTCTTATTGTGGAAATAAAACTAAAGTTAATAGCTTAGTTAAAAAGTAACAAAATACATGTTTGTCTAGAAAAGTAAAAAAAATTTTAAATATCAAGTATTACATAAATAAGATACTTACACTAGAGAACATCTTTCATTGGAATTCTTATCCTATGCATTTTATGACAGTTGTCTTGTTGTTCATATATCTGAAACAAAATTATGTTTATTGTATATAATATCTATTAACCGATCTGACAACGGACGAAAATGCAAAATATTGGTCTAACGATCACTTGTCGTCCAGTCAAGACAGAGAGGTGCGAGCGAATTCGCCGGTACAGTAAAACACCTCCTGACTAGAAATATTACAGTCAGCCTCTACGATGTCAAACTATGTACAACAAAAACCATGCAGATATAACCATAAACACCTTCTTCGATGTAAAACCATGCAGATATAACCATAAACACCTTCTTCGATGTAAAACCATGCAGATATAACCATAAACACCTTCTTCGATGTAAAACCATGCAGATATAACCATAAACACATTCTTCGATGTAAAATGATATGAAATAAGCGTCTACGACGTTTAAAATACATAACTATGATGTTACAGCCGACAACAACAACAACAACAACAACAAAATTGTGGAATCAAATAAACTTTTGTTCCTGTCTTCAACCAGAGAAGCCGAAAACTTCCGTTTATCAATAGAATGTGTTTTTCTATGTGTTATATAAACTTAAAAACAAAAACCCAGAGAAATACTGATGACAACTTCTTATCAAAATAATTATTTGTGCGCGACAGAGATATCCAAAATAAATATCACATAAACATTTGCGAGAATCGTGCAACAGCAAACTGTTAATTTAATTATCTTTTACTCAAAAACATTGCTACATAACTGAAGAATTATAGATCTATCATCACTTTGTTGTATTGTTCAATACAAGACATTCTTTTTACAACGACGAAACAAGAACAGCGTTTACAGATGTGCCAATAAATATTCAAATATAACTTTATCAACTTGTGTATAAAGTCTACGTTTACACATATCAAATACATATATATAAATTTAAAAGAATCTTCAAGAACATCAAACATTTATGAACAATTATGAGTGTCAATTTAAAATTATACTTTATAAAGCTACATACCAACGATTTGAAATTCCCGTCACGACGACCAAGCCATACTGATGTCAGCAAGTACCTGTTACAAAAAACATACCTGTCACAGGAAGTGTTCAATGCGCATGCACAATACACGTTTTACAGGAAATGAAACACCTGGACATTTTATCAATTATCAATTGTTTATAATATTTTTTAAACTTTTTCGTATATAAATATCTTTTCTACTCTTATCATACATATAATTCTGTTAAATTTTATACCTTAAAGTTTTTCTAATTAATATTCTTAAAATAATTTGTTCTTTGAAAATTGTTAACTTATTTGATTGTTTTTATGTTTACTAGATCTATAGAAATTAACTTTTTTTTCTCTTTTTTTATGATGAAATAAAGGAAAATATTAACTGATAAAAAAAATTTCGAAAAGATTATCTTTACATTTAACAATTATTATTTTTTTACTTATTAAAAACATTACAAAATTGTTGAAGTAAATTATAACTTACCCGACTGCAGTATCCGAAAACTTTTTAAAAAAGTGACAAGAAAATATATTGAGCGAATATTTCCGAATATTGTTTCCTAAGGCGTTTTTTCTTTTTAAAGATAAAGTAATAAAAAAAGTCATTAGATAACATCTCTGACCGGACATCTCTGACCGGATATTACCTTAAGGGTAAAACAGATGTCAAGTTGATTTTAGATTTTAGATTTTTATAATTTGTTAGAACGAGTTTGAAATGTTTGATATTAAATAATAACTTGTTCAATACTTTTTTTTTAAATATTTTTTTTTAATAAGTAATGGTGGAATTGTCGTATAGCTGGTTGCACAGGCTAATGAGTCATACACGCTATATTCAAAAAGAATGACAAGTCAACATGTATATACATATAATAAGGTTTTTATTTCATAATGTGCACTATGGAACATGACATGATTTATGAGTATTATAGTTCAGGATGCATACGGACTGACCTTATGTCAGGATGATTAATATATGTAACTCTAAAACGTGTGTATTTATATACATTATAAAATGTCCTTAGGACAGGTTGATATTATATATACTATTCTCAAATGTCAGAGAGGGAGTTCGACTTTGGTATTCCACTCGTTCACTTGTGTGTTTGTATTTGTATATTAAAAGTATGTAACATCCGTGAGTTCTTCCTACGTTATACGACACAGGCAAAATATCTAAGCCCTAGGCCTTGTGATTCTTAAGAAAAAGATTTTCTAAGATTTACCTACGTAACTCTATGTAAAAATCAAGTGGCCCCTGTGTCATGGTCAATTTGATCCCGGAAGTCATGATTTCGACAAACTGGGTAGAGGTCCACTAGTCAATGTTACATGCAAAACATCTAAGCTCTGGGCCTTGGGATTCTTAAGAAGAAGATTTTTCTAAGATTTTTCCATATAACTCTATGTAAAATCAAGTGGCCCCTGTGTCAAGGTCGATTTGACCCCGGGGCTCATGATTTGAACAATCTTGGTAGAGATCCACTAGTTCATAGGGTGAAAAGTAGGTTGGGATTCTGAAAAATATGAGTAAACCCCCATCCCCCCTCCTAGAATAGACACTGAGGATGCAAGTTCGAGACGTAGATCTAGCTCCGATTACATTTTTTTTCTTTCTTTTGTAAACCCCACAGATAACCACCCCCTCTTTTTATCGACCCAAAATAAAATAATCCCTTTTAAGATTTTAGAATATTGGTGAAACCCAAAAAATGCTGGACTAACATAAAAAAATGAGGATTCTCTGTGTGGACAGATTCTAAAACTGTATCGATACCTGAAAAAGCTTATGTACATTTATGCATGATTATGAAAAATATAGTGTCAAATAAACTTTAATCTAAAGGAAGAGTACTTACTTTAAAAAAAATGAATTGGAACTCCTGTAACTCTCGCCATCTTTACTCTGAACGGAAAAGGCCCTAAGCGCATGCTCAAGCGTCGTGTCAGACTTGACATCGTGACGTAACAACTGTGCAGATGAAATTGTGAATTCGTGAATTCCTGAATTCACGAATTCATAATTTCACGATTTCACTTTAAAAAAATGAAATCGTGAATTCATGAATTCACGATTTCATTATTTCATTTATTCAGATTTTTAAGAGAAATAGTGAAATTATGAAATCGCGAATTTTTTAAAGTGAAATCGTGAATTCGTGAATTCATGATTTCACGATTTCATTATTTCATTTATTCAGGTTTTTAAAAGAAATCGTGAAATTATGAAATTATGAATTCATGAATTCACGATTTAAAAATTCAACATTTCACTCTAAAAGTAATGAAATTTAAAGTCTTGAAATCATGAATTCGTGAACGTGAAATGTCACCACCGGTCTTTCGTACTATATAGTTTTAATTTACAAATATCATCACAATATGAGTAAATATAATAAAATAAGGGTATAGGCCATCATTTATTAATACAGGATCAGGGAAAATAATATAGTAATAATCACCTTGTATCATTTTTTAGAATTATTGGAAATAACATGAATCTTGTCAATTAAAATAAAATAATGTTTGAAACGTCTTTCTCATGTCCAGTTATTTTGTTTATCAAATTTGAATAAGTAGACCAAATGCATACAAAAAACATGCCTGACAGTATGTTTACTTTCATCGTCGGCAATTGACACAAGAAACGTCCAGTGCATTTTTATGTCTGTGATCTTATATTAGCCGTCATTGAAACGCTTGCACCAGCTGAAAAACCATGTCCTTAGGTTAATTAATAGGTTTATTAATTGCTCTTCGTTTATTTAATCTTACGGCCTTCCCGTATAGAGGTGAAGTAGTATCCCCCTTTATTGGAAATAAGTAACAACCGCACAAATTTTCAGTTTTTTAACGAGTATCTTATTTCTACATTTAACGCTATGATGAGCACTTAATGTATGAATAACGCCATACTTGAACCTGAAAGCACTTAATAAATACGAAACTTGTAGTGAAATACTAATAGTTCCTCTTATATATTTATATTGCAATTATTTTGCAAGTTCGGACTATGTACAGATTACAGAAAAGGGCGTCGGTGGAACAACAAGCAGACACTGTGGCTTTGATCCATTGACATTTATCACATTCGGAAACGTAATGCAACTACAATTCAAGTCGGACGGTTCAACTGAATACAAGGGTTTCAAATTCATCATCAAGTCGGTGAAAAGTAATAATTTAATTTGATTGTGATTAAATATACATTTCATGAAGTCTGTATTTTTACTTTCAAAATATTCTATTTAATATATTCCTTTAAAATGATTTCTTAGCCTTTGGTCAAACAGTTGTGAACCCTTATAAAGCCCTGGCTGGTATAAATATGCATTCAAATCGTTATACCACTCTATCCAGCCCGCATAGCTCAATCGGTAAGAGCGCGAGACTTGTAATCTCAACATTGTGGGTTCAATTCCCGGGCTTGCTAACTAAAATTGAGGTTCCGTGTATGAGAGCTTAAACACTAGGCACGCTAAAGAACCAGGAGAAGCTTCTGCATTGGGGCATCTTTCTGTATCTGTATCTTGCACTATCCTCCAAAATATAAAATGACTAACAGTCTTCTGGAGGTCTCACCCATATTGGCAACCGGTGGCGAGTATAAATAAACTCAAATACACACATATACCACTCTGCCGTTGTGACCTTTCTTTAATATTCATCATTATTATAATAATATATGAAATTGTATCTTACCCGCTTGATATAATCATGGCATGTTAAGATCATTGGACGTGATATTTGAATTACTCTTGTTGAATTTTTTGTGTTTACAAAAACAAATTTCACGTATTTGCAGAACTTTCGGATGACTTATTTTGCATTGGTAGTATATCAAGTGGCAAGAATTCGAGCATAATGAACAAAGAAACTTCAGGAGACAGTTGTTTTTACCGATTACAGGTGAAATAACTATATTTAATAAACAGAAACAGTAATTTGGACAGACTTATATCTGTGACTTTATACAATGTTAACTTTATCTATTCTCTTTTAAAATTACTCATCTTTTTTTTTCGTCTCTCTCAGAATACGTTAACACGTTTTTACGTGTATAGTAGCAGGATTTTGATAAGAATTATTTCAATTGGTTATAATTTATGAGATTATGCCGTTTTGCAGGAATGCAAAAGATGTATGATTTACTATTAAATGAGAAAAATTATATACATTTAAAAGAAAAAAAATCTTTCAGTTTTAAAGAAAACAAAAATAAAAACCGTAATTGTACATTTTTTGTAATCATCACATTTTAACCTTAATTATCACATTTTAACTTTCTCTGTGTCATCTCCTGTACAAATTAAACATATATTAAATGTGATGCTAGCCAATAAGGTTTTGCAGGCACCAAAACACAATGATATAACGCTGACACTAAAATTGCTAGATTTTGGATCAGCTAGTTGTGAGGAGGAAAGTATAATCATTTATGAAGGACAAAGTACACGTAAGTTTTATAGAATTCTATCGCTCTATAATTGTATAGTGTGTTTAATAAAACATGAAATGTCTTTAAAGTTTAAAAACTCATCTCACAATTTCTTAGACTAGTATTTTTTTGTGTTAAGTCTTACTTAAGTCTTTGCAATAAAATCTTTACGTGAACACTTTCTATATCATTTTGCAAATTAGCACTATATTATAGTATAATATGAATAAACATGTCTAAGAACGTTCAAGTTAGTCATTTGCTTCCTTTTAAATGTTGTTTTTAATATGATTTTCAGAAGGAAGACCTTTAGGTACGATATGTAGTGATAGTGATCTCGGAATACAACCATACCGTGCAAGTTCAATGTTTATTGAGTACAGGAATCAAAATAGAATACATGTTTGTAGAGAACAATTTTGTATTATCAACGACCCATTTTTCGGTTAGGGGAAATGATGGTAATGCTTACTTTTTTAATAAAACAAAACAACAATAAAATATATATTAAATGTAAACAAAACATGTCTCTATGAAACGAAAATCATTTCCAATTTAAAACATACTAAGGCGAATGCGTTTTATGGAATGTGTTGAAAAATAGTAGAAAATAAAAACCAGCTATACAGACTTTTGATATAAACAAAATCAAGTGGCCAGTTGCTTATTGTCCCCCGCCTTTTCGAAGAAAAAAGGGGTGAAAAGAAATAGGCTCCGTCCGTCCGTCTGTCCGTCCGTCCGTCTCACTTTCGTGTCCGGTCCATAACTTTGTCATTTATCAAAGGAATTTTAAATAACTTGGCACAAATGTTTTTATAATAAGACGATGTGTCATGCGCAACAACCAGACCCCTACCTCCAGAGTCAAGGTCGCTTTTGCTCATTCAAGGTCAACATTGTCTATTTGAGGGTACATGTATATGTCGTGTCCGGTCCATAACTTTCTTATCTATGAAGGGATTTTTTAAATACTTGCCACAGTTGTTCACAATAATCTGACGATGTGTCATGCGCAAAAACCTATCTCCAAGGTCAAGGTCACACTTGGAGGTCACAGATTAACATAGTCTGTTAAAGGGTATATTTTATGTCAGGTCCATAACTCTTTCATAGATTAAGGGATTTTCAAAATACTTGGCACAAATAGTCACTACAATAAGAGAATGTGTCATGCGCAACACCTGTATTCCTATCTCCAAGGTCAAGGTCACACTTAGAGGTCAAAAATTAGCATAGTCTGTTATAGGGTATATTTTGTGTCCGATCTAGAACTTATTCATAGTTCAATGGATTTTGAGATAACTTGGCACAAATAGTCACAATAATAAGACAATATTTCAAGTAGAACACCTGCTCCCCTACCTCCAAGGTCAAGGTCACACTTAGAGGTCAAAGGTTAATAGAGTCTGTTATAATGTATATTTTGTTTCCCGTCCATAACTTCTTCATAGATTAAGGAATTTTGAAAATACTTGGCACAAAAAGTCACAATGATTAGATGATATGTCATGCGTAATATCTGTGTCCCTACCTCCAAGGTCAAGGTCACACTCAGAGGTCAAAGATTTACATAGCTTGTTATAGGGTATATTTTGTGTCCAGTCCATAACTTTTTCATAGATCAAGGGATTTTAAAAATACTTTGAACAAATAATCACAATAATAAGACGATATGTCAGGCGCAAAACATGGATCCCTACCTCCAAGGTCACACTTAGAGGTCAAAGATTAACATTATCTGTTATATGGTATATTTTGTGTCCGATCTATAACTTCTTCATAGTTCAAGGGATTTTGAAAATACTTGGCACAAATAGCTACAATAATAAAATTATATGTCATGCACAACACCTGCATCCCTACCTCCAAGGTCAAGGACACTTAGAGGTCAACGCTTGATATAATAGATTTTTAAATTGTGTGTATCATTTTGTTTCTTTAATAAATTAATTGTTGCATTTGCAGATGTAGCATTGATCATAATTTTTGACTGAAAATTCTGAGATCCATACCTCAGTCTTTTTAAATAGCACAATTTTATGCTTCATACTTCCCCGAGGCGGGGGACGTTGGTAACTCTGTTACAAATTCTTGTTATCTTTAAAGACTGTTTATTCTAAAATTATATATATATAAAATCACTGGAACCAATATTCAATCCGCATTTAAAGGATAAATATTTTTCTTTATAAAAATGTTTAAGAGATAATTAATACGTTATGCTCCATTTATTGAATAAGTAAGCCGTTTTACCTCTCCCCGATTACTTAATACTTTGCATTTAGAGTAGCAATCTTTAGCAAACAAGGCACGTGACTTTTGCAAAAATCAAGCCTCGATTTCTCTTCATATTTTACATTGAAGACGTCCTTGGGGAAATGTGTGGTTGGCACTCGTCCCTTTTAAATGAAGTTTAATAAATCATAATGGCAATTCACAGAAACTATATATCTAGTACATTCGGATTTCATAGGAAATATTACGTTTCACTAATTATACGACCTTGCAATAAGAGAGAGAGCTCAGCTCTAATATTAAGGCATCTAACGGTTATCAGGACCAGACTAGGCATACGTTGACGCGTTTCTGTGCTTTATTATTATTATGTAAAATGTAAATTTTTTACCCAAGAGCCCAAATAACAAACAAAATAATGCGAGAAATCGGGTTGGCATCGCTTAAGAATGCAAAGACTATTCCATCAATTGGACAGGTTACAAACTTTGGTTTAGTTGGAAGAAATCATATTATGTATCACTTTTTAGATAATTATAAAAAAGTAAACCTACGCACGTCTTGATTGCCATGACTGCAATTTAAGACAGTGGCTTTGAATTTATTGAGTCTGTTTTAACAAAGTGATTAAGACTTGGTACCTACCACCGATCAAATTATGATGTTAATTAATTTAAGAAAACAGAAATTTAAAGTAATATTAGGCCACTGAAATAACACTTACAAGATCGTTTATCTACTTAACGGAATTATACCAAATACCATATTCTTACAAAGAAGGCTTTATGACTTACCAATTAGCCCTTGTACGCCTAATTGCTTGTTCACATGCACAAACACGTACGTACAATTTGAATAAAACTTAAATTAATTGCTCAATTATTGTATGCATTAAATAAACATGGTCACAAAATGAAAAAAGAACATGATGTCTTGTACTTTTATGACAATATTCAATTTTGCGTTTTCTACAAGTGTTCATTATTTAATTTATGAATAATTATCATGTTAAATTTACTTGCAGACACTGATGGTTTGTTAAAAGAAAACAGTACAAACAGTGGTATCAATTTATGCACTGGATCAAAATACAAACACACCAAGAAGTGGGCAGTAGCGGTTTGTAATGATAATCTTCCTCGTCATGCTGTACAGGTAGAATTCGACTACTTTGACATGGAAAACGCAGATGACTGTATCTTTGGTTCATTGAAACTTTTGGCAGGAGACAGAGAAGGTATTTAAATTCTATTATAACATTCCTCGTAATGTTGTCACTATACACAAAGAAGAAGAAAACGGTGTTAAACTGCCAGTAAACACTGGTTAGGGTATACATGTTTATTCGGCTGTTATTTTTCCCCTCGATAAGATAAACACCACTGAAAACGATATTATTTCTGAATCATTTCTTTTGATTTTTATAAAAGATTGAATATTATATTTATATCTGACTTTCCAAGAATGCATACGTGCAAATTTACATAATTCGAAACGGGAACTAATTGATGATTTTATACTTTCTCTATCGAAAAACAGTCTCATGACTAATTTTTTTTTGAAAATCCTTATAATATTGATGACAATTTTATCCCATATTTTTCAGAGACATCTTTTCTTAATGAACAATCTTGCGGAAAGAATAAACATGGACAAACTTTTGTAACAATGGGCAAATCACTGAGTCTTGAAATTAAAACAGATGAATCATTAGCCCTTAAGAATTTTCAAGCAAAGGTTTCATTTGTACCAGATACAGGTTAGTCAGTATGTCTTTTTTGTTTTATGTCATTTCAAATAATTAAATGTTCTATCTATAAACATTTTCAGTCTCTATTTGTTCTTCACCGTGTATCACTTGAACAGTTTGACCAATTGACTTGTCATTTCAGAAGCTTTTGGAAAGTCTTCTTTTGTTAACTAATTAAAACAAATGAATAATTCATTGTAGAATGTATATGCAAAGACAACATGGAATGCACTCGGGACAACACTGAAAAGTATGTAACTTTAAATCAAATAAAACGAAACCTGATATTTCCTTTTGATATGTTTCCATTGATTTATAGAAGATGCTTTTCATTTTTAACTGATGTCTATGGACAAGAATCTTAAGTAAGTAAGATTATCAAAAACCACTTAAAAATTTGAAGTTTCATATTAGATAGTTCTTGAATTAATCTCTGCAATGCACATAATTATAATCCATTGTCCAAAAAACATTGTTAATATAACAATTACATGGCAAATTTTCTCGTTCATTTTTGTTCAAATATGACTTTATATTTGATACTATAGATGTATTCACGGAAAATATTGTGATATAAATACATGCCAAAACGGCGGAACATGTATCCAGACTAGTTTTGAAGAGAAATGTTACTGTCCTAAAGGTTTCAAAGGAGACGACTGTTCACAAAGATATGTAAGAATAATACAGTGTTATGTATATAACACTTCACTTGTGTTATGTATATAACACACGAGCCTGCAACATTTTCAATTTTTCCGTGTTAGGCTTTCTTTAGGGATTCTGTATTTATCTATTTTATGATCATATCCGTGTTATTTGTGCCGTGTGGTGGCTGTAAAAAGTCTCCCCGTACATTTAATCAATGATGTTATATTTTCGATCCTTGAAGATCGTTCAGCACGACATTATTGTTGTGCTTGTGGTATTTTTAGTTTCAACTTTTTGGCACTTTCAAGTTGGGTGGTTCCAATATTCCTACTTGAATAATGTTGAATCACCCTTAGGATAATGTTGCCTGCTTTTTAAATTTGTCTTTTGACGTCCAATCTGTGATACGCAGGCTTCATAACCTCAGATCCCTTTTCAAAATTCCATTTTATTTAGTTCCGCCCATTGTTTTCTCGTTTAAGGCACACGCATTTTTTTACTTGGGGACCATATGCCGCTTTTCATGGAATGGTACTACCGTGTCACATTGAAGGTTCCATGATAACCGCCATATGAACACATCTGCGGATGTTTCAAAATTCAAAATTTTACCAGTTCATGTTAAATGTTGAATTCTGCTTAAGCCGGTGCTAGGGGGCGTGGACGGTAACTTGCACTTTCCAGTACCGTCTATGAACAGGCTCAATCAAACCGAGCCTGCAACATTTTCAATTTTTGCCGTGTTGGGCTTTCTTAAGGGATTCTGTATTTATCTATTTTATTTTAAATGTGTTCAGTTCCTATCTCCTGAATAACTCAGTAGGTAGAGTTCAGACCTGATAATCGCAATGTCGTGGGTTCGATACCTACTCATGTCACTATCATTTATAATAATTTTGTTTATTTGATGTTTATATAATTTTTCATGTTCATTTATCTTCTTCAAAAGAGTTCTCTTCATGCTCATTCTGGAATATTCTTTCTCTAAGTAGTTTAGTATTCTAGATTGCTCATTGATAGTATATATATTGAGAAGTGTTTGTACTTCGCGGTGTGTGTGCTAACTTGTGATAAAGTGTAATGTTGATATACTGATTGTGTGCTATTGTACTTAAGATATCGTGAAGCTTACATAGGAATATATAAGTTTGGATTCTGTTATTCTGTATGGGAAGTATTTTGGACATATTGTGATATTCTGCTGTGGACATTTGCCATTGATTAAATTAGAGTTGTGGAAAACAATTGAATCTCAAACTGTGAGTTAAACTTTAGGACGTTTGTTAAATTTGATTTTTTTGATTTTGTATCATTGTAAATAACTGTTTTTCTTTAGTTAAAAGTTGTAAAATTTGTTGCTGGTTGCGTTTAGCTCGTAACAACAGAAGTTAAATTGAACATTGAGAGTTTCCTTGATGTCTTTGATGTTCTTTAAAATGTATTCCCAATTCATTTTGGTATCGTTATAATATTGTTATTTTAATCATCGTCATGGAAATATACTTCGTTCGTTGAAAATTGCTCATTCCCGTAACCGTGTACCGTATTTCTTTTTCCAAATTGTTTCATATTTAGCTGAACTTCCCGAAGAATAGTGATGCTTTTGTCATGACTCTCTTTCTCAGTGATGGTATCGACGTTGGTTAATTTTTTAATTACGGCAATTATTTTAGAAACTATAAAAACTATTCATATCCAACTTGGTATACATATTTATTGTCATAAAAGAACGCAATCTTGTAACAGCTCATACTCCTACAATTAGTTTTTGCATAATTATTTCCCCTCTTTCAATTAACATTTTCTGCCATTGTTAACCTTTTTATTCAGGTGCATTTTTACAGCAACTGAAACTATTCACTTCCAATTGGTAAACATGTTCACTATTTATTTGTATACATGTTCTCTATTTAAATATGTCGCCTTTTCATCTGAAAAAAGTTCTAAATATCAGATTTGCAAAGTTATGTTTCTTTTTTCCAAAACGGAAGAAATGAAAATGTTGTAGACTCGATCAAAGTACAGCAGCCGGTTATTGCAAGCTAACTTAATCGCCATTTAGTAAAACGCTCGATGTTATCGTTATATTCATTTCCTTGTTCAAATACACGTGTTTCATTCATGAAATATTTCTCCTTATCCAGTTTAATTTAGTGAGCTCATTTATAAATGTTTTCTCAAACGTTATTCCCTGAACAAAAACTTGAATACAGTTAAGTTTTACTACATAAAATTTATAAGTTGTAACTAAATTAGATAATAAGGAAAACAATTATAATTTTGTTTACTTCCTGAAACTGTTTGTTTTGGCAGGGACAGACATGTTTTGTATAACTTTATCACTTTTTATTTAGCTGTCTTAAACAAATTTTTAAATAACGTTTAATTCAATATTTATTTTGCAAGGGTGAATTTTCGAACAAAATAACATTCATCAGTGCACCCGTGGACCGCACGCTAAAGAGAGGTCAAGGTCATATCGAAGAATGTCTAGTTGAAGTTCCATATGAAGAGGAGGTAGTATATAGTTGGTAAGAGAAGTAGCATTATAACACATTTGTTTCTAAATTAATGAACTAAATAAGGGATCAACATGCTTAAAGGACGGCATAAGGAGAAAGAGTTAGATTTGAACAAATCTAAATGTTATAGACTTTAGTATTAGAAGTAAAGGGTAGTTAGAAGCTGCAGTATTGATTAAAACAAAGTTATCAATAATAATCACAATATTTATTGTAAATCAAAAACCTAACTACTGTAAATAATACTTCTTTGAACATGCTAAGTCTTGGGATTGCTTGTTAAACGCGATATATAAATGATTTTTGTGGAATGTCTAATTTAAGGTGTATTACCTACACTTTAAAGAGTATTCAAATAGGCTAGAACTATTGTTAACTACATTGAAAATGAGGGCCCTGGGTTCAATCCCCAGAAGGGTCAACTTTTTTTTCTTTTTTTTTTCTTTTAACATTATTTATGTATCTCTCATGTCCCATTTGGAAAGAAAAAAGTGTTTAATTTTGATTTTTAAATTTATATAGATATCATTGGCTAAATTATGATAAATCTAGTAATAAATATGGTACCTGATATTTTCAAAGTGTAATAAAATCAAAACTAAACGGTAAAAGTATTTCATATTTCACAAGATCAACCAATATACTTCTTTAAAAATTTAGGGAAACTTTGAAAACAAGCACTCATTTAGGTAAATTTTAAGGATTTTTTTAGATTAGGCTCCATAAGTAGGAAAATGGTCAGACACGTGGTAAAAATGGGTGGGGTGGGTAACATTTTTATACAGATTTCATAAATTTTAAGAAGATTATGTGGATTGTTAGCTAAATGGTACTATTTGTTTCTAACAAAAATTAATGGGAAAACATTTTTATTAGAATGTTATTGCAGATTATTTAAAGGTTGCACATTTCTAAAAATGGGCCCTTTAAACATCCTAGCTTTAGTTCAGAAAAATGGCCATAAAAATTTGTTTGAATTTTGCATACAGGTGTACTTTAAGGTATATATCTGACCTATGATGTCAATTTTTTAGTTCCTTATAGTGCCCATTAGGGTGATAATACCTTAAATCATTTTACACAAATAATTATGAAATATGAATTAAACAATCTAGTGATTGTGATATTGAATGAAATTGAAATTCAGTCGCCCCTTTAAACAATCAGATGTACAATTTTTGCAAATACTTTAAAAGCAGAATTTGTTCTAACAATTTTAAAATTCTTACAAAAAGTCCTAGCGCCAATGCCGGTAGTGACATATGATGCATTGAGCAAGCAGCAGTTTTGATCGGCAGGGATTAAATTAAATAATTATTAACCAAAATAAAATATGGACGTGTTGAATTGTAAGAACCATTACCTTTTTCGAGCTATTAACGTACTGAAGTGAAAGATTGTTAGCATTCATAGCTAAATGCCACTTAAAATATAGTTAAATGAAAATTAAACACAGTGTATTACGAAAATAAAAAAATGATACCTAAAACATGAAAAATTTAACAAACTAAGAACAAACAGAAACAACATAAATTTTGCAGTCAAAAATGACTTTTGGTGTTGCAATACTTTATAGCTACATTTGATTTTTTTTATTTCCAGGTCATTACAAGGAACATTAATAAATCCGTATAATAACACAATAGGATTTGGAACTCATCCGGGTGGAATATTACAGGTGCGTTTTGAATATAAAAAGGTCTGTAGAGTTATTTTAATGTGAAGTTGGTTACAGTATAGTCTAAAATGATTTATTACGATACATAATGCTGAAATGTTTCTGTTTTTGAAATGAGTTATATCGTGAAGCAAAGGATATTAATTTAACATATTTGCTCGTCACCCTTCTTAACACTATTTTCTGAATTTACCATTTTTCTTATATATAGCTCTTTTATAGTTTTATTTATAGACCGATGTTTTTTATATTTGATATTTGGTTAACTTCTTACTTTAAATAGGTCAAGATCACCGGTAATTAAAATGGATGTTTTACATACTTTATAAATTGACTGATTCATATTTTGCCAGTAGAAACATTAGACAATTGATTAAGGTCAAGGTAATCTGTGATAGAAACTGATTTTAAAAATTGCTTGCTTAAGAATCATTTATCTTTTTTAACCGGGTCATTTCACTTGTGTCAGGTGGATACCTTGGGTTGACCTCTTTCATTTAGTTGTATAATGGATTCCTTGGATCAAAGTTAAGGTTCTTTATTTGTCGTTTTAAATTGAAAAAAAAACTAGTTCACGTGTTCATCATTTTGCGCATTTGTCTTAAACGCGATAAGTTTTTTTTTATCACGGAAATCATCAGTACACTTGTTTTATAAAAATGCACTGAATTATAATTTTCTGAATAATACGACGCCGTTGATACACACCTAATGTAAAAATGGATTCATGCCTTTCTGTAAATAAATGAAAGTCACGCATTGGTTTTTCAACTTTTGGCCGAAACTGTCAAAACAAACCGATATCATAGATATCACACAACTGGAGAGATCCCTGATCATAACTCATACTCTGCTATTGTATTGTTCAAAGTCCCTTTCAAACAACCAAAACGTAGAGCTTTTTCAAGTCTGTTTACCTTTATATTGATTCTACGAAACGATTTATATAATGTCTGACTCCTACTGCTTTGCTGCTTATATTCATCTTTATTTTGTCGTTATCTTTATTTTTTAAACGTCTTTTATTATCATTAACATTATTCCTTTTCAATCTTGCATTATCAAATGTGTTCACTTTCTGGTAACTTGTCAATTACAACCACCACTGACATTGTAGATTGTTCTTGCTAGAAAATGGCTTCCATAAGCTTCTGCTGTCGGCTAAAATCTATAATTAATTTTATGTTGTTATATTTATACATGTACAAATATTCTAAATAAAATATGTTTAAACCAATAAATCGCGGATACTTTGTTTCGCGGATTTCTACAAAAAACGTGAATATATCGAAAGTTAAACAGTTCCCGCCATACAGTATAAAAATACACTTTGATTTATTGAATTCTGTATTTTTTATATAAAGACCTTAATTGGTCTGTTAACTTTGGATGTAGATGAATGGCCTGGGGAAAAGGCTTGATCCTAGAAATTTTCACGGGAGGTTGTCTAATTTCAGTTTACCTTGCTGTAAAATAAACAGTGATGAACTTAATAAAAATTATATTTCCATTGGTCATTTATAGCCCCTCACAAGTGCCAAATGACTTCCAAGACGCTTTTTAACGCGTGCGATCATTTTAGCCTATAGATTATGCGGTCAATATTTGACCTGAATGGAATATCATACTCGGTAAATTATTCAAATGGCCTATGATACAATTCAAGTAAATTGCCACTAAGTATGACAAATATATTTAAAATATAGGTGTAAAGTGATTTATATCTAAACGAACGCTGAATGTAAGTCAAAATTATAAATAATGCATGCTCGAATTGATTCAGCCGGTTTAAGAAATGTAATATACAAGCCAACTACCATGTGACGAAGCAAAACCCAGCAATTTTTGTACAAGAGATTTTTTCATGACTTTTAAGCTAACTGCTAGTTTATATGTAATTGTATGTTATGAGATCACGAATAAAAAACTGCATGAAAAAAATGTAGGTAGGTAGGTAGTTTAATTGAAGAAGAGCATTGGAGGTTCAAAATTCTAAATAGTTAAAAGCATTAAATTTACTTGCGTTCATATTAGATTGACAAGTTCTCGGACGAAATGGAGGGGCAATATTCATGTATCGCTACAACCTCGGTCGAAACAGTGAATCACACTTTTACGTATACCATTGCAGAGGATTGTGACGTCAGTAAGTTCTTTATTTTAACTGATTTTTCCAGCTAATAACTCAAGCTAACTTTCACATAATTTTATGAAGTGAATGAAAAATAGAGTCAAATAAGCACTGGATAATGTTTTAGTTCAATCTCATTATCAGCTCACAACACCCATTATATGTGGTCTTTTTTAATTAAAAAAACTTCAAGATTTCTGAAATCAAAAGTATTGCACGTTAATAATGCTAGTACTAAGTCCTTTTTATTTCCATGCGCGAATATAGATGGAATTTGTATTTTCCATACAAATTAAGATTTGTCTTGTATTCTGATATGCTTTGTGATTTGTAACAAAACGCAAAGAAGAAAAATCCGGTGTTAAATTACAGTTACAAATAAACACTTGGTAGGTACTAGATAAATATGCAACTGTCCTTATTTTTCTTCCTCCCTTAAGGTAACAACAATAACGATTTTTATTGATATTTTCCATTTTCCATATATTTTCTGTTCATATGATAATAATAATGGCACACATACCCAAACGCTACAGGTTTTATCTGTATCAGTTCAAATAAAATAATAAAGAAAAATCTAAGGCAATTCCAATAAAGCAAAATGCTGTCATCTAAGTATTTAAGTCATTCATAGACACCAGAATGACGTCATGACAAACTGACTTGGGTGGGTGATGACAATATACTGACATCGATGTTAACACAATACAATCTAGTATTACACGTAAGTTTAAATTGTTGAACAATTGATAATAGTCATTAAAGAATAAGGTGAACCTTTGGTTTTTATTATTTCCTTTTTGACAGAAGCGTGGTTTATTAGCCGATAAACACCGCCGAACAAACGTATTATAAGCTTCTACTTTTTCATCGGACCTTGCCAAATATTGCCTACTTTTGAGAAAACTGATATGTCTTGAAACAACAGTCTCAATTATTAAAATAGTATTCCATAGCAGCAACGATGCGTTGTGCGTTACTTTTTGCACTTTGATATATATCATCTTTTCAAAAACTTGTTTGTAGTATTAGTGCAGTATTCAACTTTATATGCAATGTCAATACAACAATACATTGATGATTTAAAAAAGAATAAAAAACAAACCAAAAGCGCTTTTTATTTTTATAAGGAATATACCCAGGACCACAGTCAGAGATCAAAAAACCTAATGAAATAGCTTTACTTACGTGCCGCGTGAACCATCGAGTAAAAGAAGTTAGATGGAAGAAAGATGGTGTTTACATTGATTTTAACAAAGATGATAGAATCAAGGTACGTTTTCAAATGCATATACATGTAAATCATGAAAATAATTAATAGAATTGTTGTCTTGTTTCGTATATCTTTCTTATCATTTTTTTCTGAAACATTTTATTATCATCCGTACGTAAAGGTTAGCGTTATGAGTTGTTGAATATATTTAACTATTGTAAGACTTTCTATTTTCTGTTTTCACCACGAGGCGTATACAAAGAATACAAATAGCCTTTAAATAAATAATGACGTTTAGTGGTACATTTATTATTTGTCAAAAGATTTGAAAATTATGTCTGTTACTTAAAAACAAAATATGAAATTGAAATAATGCAATATGATAAGGCATTTTTTAAATGACAAGTTAACAAAATGTAAAAAAATTGAAAAAACGAAAGCAAAAAATGTGTTTAGTGAACTATAATAAGTTGAAAAAGTACACATTTTGACATTTTTAATTTGTTTATGATAATGAAAATATCTGAGACATTCACATAACGGGTTTTTTTACGAAAATACGAAAAGTATATGTTGACGGTATACCAGAATGTAATAGTAATTGCAATAAGAAATGAAAAAGTAAACTCATATTAAGCTGCTTTTCTTTCATTGGACCTGCGTCTTGCAAATATATTCAAGAGAAAACGATTTACATATTAAATGTAAAATACGCGAGCGAAGCTGAAGTCCTTTACAACGAAAGGAAGCATTTTCATGCAAGCAACCGTAAGCAACAAAGCATGCGAATGATATTTACAAATATGTCAATAATTTGGTGTTTGTTTTAACAGTTTTTAATTCGTTAAATGGAATACATAGCGTTTTGTAATCATGGCAAAGAAGGTGAATAAAAAGGACGATAAATAAGACCAGTCAAATTAATATATGTTGGACTATCAAACATTTTTTAACCCTTGAAAATAATTGCATATATTTATATTTTAATTTGAAGATAAGAATTAAAAGGTGAAAATAATTGATTGTTACTTCTCTCTGCATAATGAAACCTGAGGGTCAAATGCAAATAAGGTTCGATCTGAGGTATATTATCACATAAACGGCGAGCAGCAACTAAGTATTAGAGTCTATAATATCTATGCTCGGTCTGGAATGAGATACGGTGTTAAGACATTGCCGTTTATTTTTTGTTGAAATTGACAGTTGTCGAATTTAACCCAAAAATTAATTTATTAAATGGTTTAAATTACATGCCGGAAAATTCCCATGTTTTTTTACAAAACCCTGAAAAAATAAAATTGAACTGTTCTGATGTTTGTCATTTCTGAGAATAATTATAGGTGCAAGTTTTGTTGTGAAGTTAAATGCTTGAACAGATCATGATGTTGTCAGGAAACAAATCAAATAAATCTACATGTCATGGGAATATGATCTAGATAATTTCCCTGTATTGTTGATGGTTCCAGTTATTGGTTTCAAAATGTTATTAGAGTCTGAAGATGCAGACCTAAGTGTTGCCTTTTACGCGAGTCTTTGACTTATATTGTTTAAGGCTGCCTTCATGTTTACAGATCTACGGTAATTATCATGAGAAAATATTATGAGGTTGTTTTTGTCATTTTGTGCGTTCGCTCATGCACTCAAGTGCCGAGTAGCAAGGTTTTAAATTTACATAATTACATATCGTAATTGTCTTTTAATACTCTAAATTTAACTACATATTTTAAAAAAAGTATTTAAGTACATGTATATTTGATCGAAAAAAATGTGTAAAAGTCATGCGCCTTATTTTATGTTTATATCTATAATTTATTCGTTACAACATAGTGATATTTTACTTTTTAATTGATCGTTATAAAAAATAGAAAATGTTATATTTTCTTATTGTTTGTCTCTTTTAACAATGAGGCAACATACTTGTATATAAAACCATTTTTACCGTCATAATGAGACAGAGTAATATATTATATAAATTATGTTTACAAGTCATTAATAGTATTTTATATAAGTACACAATAATCTTACAGAAAATGGCTAATAAATTATTTACTCATCTCAAACGTCCAGACATCGGACGCGGGAGTTTACCAGTGCGAGGCCGAAGACTACAACGGTTGCTATAGCTCCAAAGAAGGCAAACTACAGGTAGTAAATGTGAAGTCTCATGGAAAATGTAAGTTCAAATATTGCTTATAAATTTTGAGTCAATTTTTTTCCTTTTCCATAAAATTAATATAAACGCTTGTTAGTCTTACGGTAATGCTTTTATTATTTTGGCTCTTTTCATAGAAATAGTTTCTGCAGAATGGGTAATACTTATTATATAACGTCTTTACGTCACACATTCTTTGTAGAAAACTCATAAATTAAATATAAAATCAATCAGGTATGTAGTAACTTTAATATTATCTTGCTTACGGCTTATAAGAATACTTTATAAACATTGGCAATTAAATCAAGTTTTAAACATCTTTGTTTCCGCTATATCTTAAGATACAAAATAAAATTTGTCAATGTTGTTTGAATCATTTAATTTACTTGATATGATCTGCACATGGAAAAAAATACTAGTTTCCAAGGCAGTGTTCTATCAGTCAATTTTTAGGCCCCCTTTAGGCGGAAAAGTGGGATATTGTTTTGCAAATGTTAGCGATCGAAATTTAGTTCGTTTAACTTTAGCTTTCGAGCTTCATCGGAAATGGTCACCCTAAAAGACCACTACTGTTTTAAGGTGCCGATTCTTGAAAGTAAATGTCACAATGACCTTAAATTTTAAACTTTTAGCTCAATAACTTTAGAAACATGTGACCTTTACATTAAACATTTAATGTAACGATCGCTGTTATTGAGTTTAAATGCGTCTTTTGATTTTTGGACCTCGATAAATAAAGGCCAAAGTCAAAGTGAAAATGACAGTGAAAACTAAACTATTTTGTCATTAACTTATGAACCATTCACTAATTTGAGAACTTTTTAACCTTTTGAAACTTTATAATTATGTTGATTAATCTTATAAATTTATGGGTGCAGTATTTGTGCCGATTCTTAAAATTCAAGGACGCAGTGACCTTAAATAAAAATTTATTGATGCTCAACAATTTTTAAAATCAGTTAAAGCTGCATTAAATGAATTTCTTAAAAACAGAAATAGTGACATTTCATTAGTAAATTTGGTTTCATATCGACTCCAGATCTTATTATGGTGTCAGGGCAACCAAAATGAGTTTTATAAGCATAAACATCTGCGACCTCATTGTGGCGAAATCGGAATTTGCATGAGAAACTCCGCCTTCGGGTCATCCGTACATCAATATTAAATCAACAAACATGGTTATAAGTAGCAGTCCTAATATAACGGTATATTTACGCTTTGTAACGGTTGTTTTTATACAAATTTAATATTTTTACGAGATGATTATCTTTTTTCTGAACGTTATGCCAAGTGCACCGTGAAGCTAAAACGGTTAAAGTGCGTATGCACATGAAAATCTCGTATTTGCTGTGTTCTGTATAGCAACTATAACACTGTGACGTATCACATACATGAACTGATTATATAGTCTTCATATGCATGTTAAAATTCGTATACGAACTTAAGTGTTACCTTGGGGTTTTCCGTTTAAAATCTTAATTTGTGAACAATAATTGATGAGATTTACAACAATACTGTTAATAAGGTTAATAAAACAGTAGAATACTTGGTTAATATGCCGACTGCAAAATATTTTTACATTTTTATTTAATGTAACTTTAACCCATGGCATTCAAACTTTAAAAGATAATTACCTTACTTGGACGCCGATGCACAAAGATCAATGTCAAAGTGACCTTGAATGTTTGAAATATTTTTCCTCATATATTGAGAACCATTTTACATTATAACGTTCAAATTTCATAAAATGATAAGATCGCCGCCATTGAGAAGAAGACCCCTATGGTGTTTGGTCACAAACGCGTGCAGATCAATGTCACAGTGACTTTGATTGTTTTCAAACTCTAGAGAACCGATTAATCAACAGCCTTTACTTCATTTGATGATTACCCCCCAACATTAAAGATGTTTTGGGTACCTTTGCATAATGGATGCCAAACAGAAAACCCCAAAATTTTAAAAAATTTTTAATTAAAAATTTTGGAAAAAAAAAATCGTTTAATTTAAAAACAGAAAAAATAACAAAGTAAGTTATTCAACTTTTTGGTTTTTAAAAAGATATAATTGAATTGAAAAGTGAAAAAAAAAGTTTGAATGAAACCTCATTAAATTAGGGAACAGCTCAACTGAACACAAATCTTTTTTTAAGATTATGAAGAAATTTTTTACATTTTTTAAAACAAAGCTCATTTTTTTTTTCAAAATTCCCAAATTAATACACTTTAAAGATCATGAGGGAAATCTTAGGGACTTTTTAAAGTTTTTCCCTTTTTTTAAAACCTTACTTTAATTGAAAAAAGTATGCATGTATATATCTTAGTTCAGAGACTTTTAATGCAGTTTGGTGAATACATGTCACTTTTCAATAGGGATACTTATCAAATCAGATAAAAATTTGAAATTATTTGAGCCGTGTCATGACAAAACCAACATAGTGCGTTTGCGACCAGCATGGATCCAGATCAGCCTGCTCATCCATACAGTCTGATCAGGACCCATGCTGTTCGCCTACAAATCCTATTACAAGTAGAAAAATCGAAAGCGAACAGCATGGATCCTGATCAGACTGCGCGGATGCGCAGGCTGGTCTGGATCCATGCTGGTCGCAAACCCATTATGCTGGTTTTGTCATGACACGGCTCTTTTCGTTTCCATGTAAGATTGTGGTATATCTATTCATGAAGAGGGTCCTGTGATTTCATCAAGAATATCAAAGGGTTCAGAAGCCCAACCTGGAATGTATCCGTGGCATGTTACGATCAGAAGTAAAGGGGTATGTAAATGCTTACTCATAGCTAATAACACTTGATAGAATTATATTTTTAAGATTTAAGGTTTAACGCAGCAATTTATTGATTTATTTTGGCCAAATTTATATACTTTTTTACGTTTAACTCATGTCCAAAGAAATAGTTGACAAACTTACATAACTTTAAGTATATTTATTTTTTTCTTCCACTATTTTAAGTCGTAAACGTGTATAATTTGCTTATGTATGTGTGTTTGTGCGTACTCCTGTATACGCTACTGTTCATTTGTGTGTTTTAGTGAAATGTTGCGGTGCGTGCTTTTGATAAACGTTCATTGAAGACATTTGTTGATTTGTAGACTTAAAAACGTTAAGCTAAGAAAGAATCTTGTCATGTTTACTTTTTATCTTTGAAGTATATGTCCTTAACTTGTTTACTTTTTATCTGAAAAGTTTTATCCTAGATCTCTGAATTGAAAAGTAAAATGTTGAGAGATAATCATTTTGGACAGGACACGGACATTTGACTAAATAAGTATTAGAAAAAAGGTCTAGTAGGTATTTCTATATCGAAAATAGTTTTGTACTGGAAGCTTCATACTTGTCTGTATGGTATTGTGTTGTTATCGTGCCAGATATAATGTCGTATGGCGCGTTAAATGATCCACACCTTGCACTCGAAACAGCTATGTTACATCAGGAAAATAGAAAAATGATAAGAACAATGCTACAATGCTTAGTACATCGTGATTATACGATACGACGTGTAACACCCAACAACGAAATATTTTGTTATGTTACATTTTAAAGAGCAACCTTATTTAATGTGTCTGTGCACTGTTGGGTGTTGATTTGCATTGTTGATCGTCGAGTCGCCTTGTCACAATGTCATTTCTCATTGTTCACGGTCACTTTGCATTGTCAAAATGCCATTTAGCATTGTTGAATGACGTAGTCTTTGTTTCTACTGACCAAATACTAATAATTAGGAGCGGCACTTCACAATACGAATCGGCATTTTCATAATATACACGTAACATTACCGCGTGTCTATCGGTGATATGTCAAATTTTTAGCCCATTCCAAGGAAGAGTACTTTTCACATTGGTTTGTAAAGTGGATAAGTTTACCCCGGATTGATTTGATGTAAGAATACACTACGTTTTGAGCTAGTAAATATGCCAGATATTTGACAAAGGTTTTGTAAAATAGAGAAAAAAATTCTGAATCCCTAAAGAGAAACCAACACGGCAAAAGTGAAAATTCTCTTAGACCTTTTATTATTTATAATTCATCATGGCCAAGGTTTTGTGATTTGCCGCTTGGTTATGTAGAAAATATTGACCTGTTTAACAATTGCAAGTCTCAGTATTCTAATTCAAAGTTACACATATTAAACATGAGTAAGCATCGGTATTCTGATTAATGATTATAATTACACGACCGAAAGCTGATAATCGGCACGCAAAATGAATAATGGTCCCTAGGGCATGTTTCTTTTTAGAGCCGATTATTACCTTCTGACTCATCTATGACGTGTATTAATGTCTTTAATACACTTGATAAATTCTAATAGAAGCAGTTTGTTACAGTTACTGGTGTATGGACCTGGCTAAAGTGCAGCGGTGAAAATCACATAAGCAAGATCAAAACACTTCATAAAATAAAATTCATACAATAAAACTTTTTAAGAAAATGTATACTTAATTAAAAAACGTTCATTTTTTCAGACAAATTTTTTTCCTTTTTTTGAAAAGGGGTAAGGTTCATAAATAAGCGCAGCCAAAAGGGCCCCTTTGTTTTGAAAAGCTGGGATTTGGGTTGGTTATGTTTTTTTTATGATTGGGGTTTTTAAATTTGTCTGCTAGTATTTTTTTACCACACAAATAGGTGTGCAAATTTCGATGCTGTCATTGTGCAAGCAAATTGGAAAGAAATCAAGGCGGCTTTTCTTGTTTTATGTTGATTTCTTAACTTTGGTAAACCATTTTTAAAAATCAAGGCTACTATTACACTTATTATATTTATTTTCTCAGCGACAATAGAATAAAGTGCAAAGGTTTTCGGTTTTGGCAGAAAACAATGTACAAGCTGATAAATATGATTCATTTTACAAATAAAAGCCACTTTACCTATCAAATGTAATAAATTTAGATTTGTTATGACTGTAAACTGCTCGGGTAAAGGATCAATGTCAAAGAGTATTTTATTTTAAATACAGCGATAGATCAATTTAATATAAATCATTTTACCTCTTAATATTGATCAAATTGTACTCTTGTATAGACTTCCGACAGCGTTCTGTCTGCCAAGACAAAACTAAAAAGGCATTTTCCGGTTTGTTAAGTGCAGTTCAGCAGTATGCAAAATGTAAACAAAATATACCGCACGGTTTACGAGTTATGGACTCTTTTCTGGACAAAAACTAAGTATTAGAAGAGCCCATTTTCAGAAATGAGAAAGTAATAATTGATATATAATATCGATCTAACGAAAAATGTATTCAGCTTTTAAAATACATAATTATAACAAAATGTTTGAAATGTGTGTTAAAATGTTACTGCTACCATTTTTATGCCCCCACAATATGGGAGCATATAGCGTTGCACTTGTCCGTCCGTCAGTCCGTCCGTCCGTCCGTACGTCCCGAAATCTTGGGAACGCAACTCCTCTTAAACCAGACGGCAGATTTTGCTTAAACTTACAGGGATGAACAACCTTAATGTGTAGATGGTAGTAAAGGATATTTTCGCTGCGACCAAATTTAACAGAATTATGGCCCTTTGTTGATTTTTTCACTATATACTATGTAGAAATTTTGTGAACGCAACTCCTCTTAAACCGGATGGCAGATTTTGCCCCCACAATGTGGGAGCATATAGCGTTGCACTTGTCCGTCCGTCAGTCCGTCCGTCCGTCAGTCCGTCCGTCCGTACATCCCGAAATCTTGGGAACGCAACTCCTCTTAAACCGGATGGCAGATTTTGCTTCAACTTACAGGGATGAACAACCTTAATGTGTAGATGGTAGTAAAGGAAGTAATTTTCGCTGCGACTAAATTTAACAGAATTATGGCCCTTTGTTGATTTTTTCACTAGATACTATGTAGAAATTTTGTGAACGCATCTCCTCTTAAACCGGATGGCAGATTTTGCTTAAACTTACAGGGATGAACAACCTTAATGTGTAGATGGCAGAAAAGGAAGGAATTTTTTGCTGCGATCAAATTTAACAGAATTATGGCTCTTTGTTGATTTTTTCACTATAAACTATGTAGAAATTTTGTGAACGCATCTCCTGTTAAACCGGATGGCAGATTTTGCTTAAACATACAGGGATGAAGAACTTTAATTAAGGTGTAGATGGTAGTAAAGCAAGGAATTTTCGCTGCGACCAAATTTTACAGAATTATGGCCCTTTGTTGATTTTTTCAGTATATACTATGTAGAAATTTTGTGAATGCAACTCCTCTTAAACCGGATGGCAGATTTTTCTTAAACTTCCAGGGATGAACAACCTTAATGGGTAAATGGCAGTAAAGGAAGGAATTTTTGCTGCAACCAAATTTAATAGAATTATGGCCCTTTGTTGATTTTTTCATTATATACTATGTAGAACTTTTGTGAACCCAACTCCTCTTAAACTGGATGGCAGATTTTGCTTAAACTTCCAGGGATGAACAACCTTAATGTGTAGATGGTAGTAAAGGAAGGAATTTTTGCTGCTACCAAATTTAACAGAATTATGGCCCTTTGTTGATTTTTAGTTTTCAACTTGTGGCACATGTAGTCCAAAAAATATTTAAGAGTCATAAGATTGACAGAACAGTGGCGCGTGGGGGCATCCGTGTCCTATGGACACATTTCTAGTTAACACTTATTCAACCATTATTTCTAACCATACAGTGCGTTTCAAAATAATCCTAAATTTTACCAAAGACAAGGTTTTTTTTCTATATTTGCCTAAAAATTGACAAATGTAAATTAAATTTGGTATAGTTTAGGCAAAAAATACATATTATAATGATATAATTAAATTAAACACTTTTTGTCAAAAACATATCATAGAGATATATCAATAATGTAAAAGTAAAATAAAAAAGAATATTAAGTTAGATCTTCCAGGTTTGAACCAACGACCCTCAATTTTGAGTTAGTTGAAAGTACTTCTAGCCTTAGGGTTATACTTTTAAGTTTGGTAGAATTCATTCAGTAATCTCGACATTTTCAAAATTCACTTCTTATTCACCACTTTTTTTAAGCTGTCGATGATTTTATTAGTTCCATTATCGAAAAAGACTTACCTCGAGCCCGTTAAGGTAAAAAACCGTCGCTAAGAGATTGTTCTACTTGGTGAACATTCTTGATAAGTTCAGTAGTTGTCTTTGGTCTGTACAAATATATAACCTTTGCACCGATAACAATAATGTGTCCCTACCAAGTTCTATAAGGTATTTCTTTCTTTAAAAACTGTGTCGGAAAAGTGATGGAACGTGTATTTAATCATTTGTATAACTACTTTCATGCTTAATCATTAATATTCCAAAATCAATCTGAATTTTTGTTAGGTCACTTAACTATGTATCAGCTTATTGTTTTAACAATTTATAGAATCATTCGAACTAAATAAAATATCTTACAATGGGTCAAAGATCAAGGTCACTATTATCTTAAAACTGAAAACAGCTTCCGGAGCATAACTTCAGTTCCATTTGACCCACAGTGTTCAAACTGCATAGGATGATTGTCCATATTATGTAGAAGACCCCTATTGATTTTGGGGGTAAAGGTCACTATAACATTAAAACTGAAAACAGTTTCCGGAGCAAAGCTTAAGTTCTAATTTGCCCACAGTGTTCAAACTGCATAGGATGATTGTCCATATTAGATAGAAGTTCCCTATTGATTTTGGGGTCATAAGGTCAAAGGTCAAGGTCACTTTTACTTTAAAACTGAAAATAGTTGCCGGAGCATAACTTAAGTTCCATTTTGCCAACAGTGTTCAAACTGCATAGAATGATTGTCCATATTATGTAGAAGACCCCTATTGATTTTGGGGGTAAAGGTCTCTATAACATTAAAACTGAAAACAGTTTCCGGAGCTAAGCTTAAGTTCTATTTTGCCCACATTGTTCAAACTGCATAGGATGATTGTCCATATTGGACAGAAGTTCCCTATTGATTTTGGGGTCATAAGGTCAAAGGTCAAGGTCACTTTTACTTTAAACTGGGGAAACAGTTTTTCCCGGGGCAATAAAATTTAGTTCCCTTTGGGCCCCCAATTTTTTCAAAACTTATTATTAAAATGTTCATAATTGGGTTTTCAAGACCCCCGATTTTTGGGGGCACAATTTTAAAAAGGTTTTAAAAATACTATTTCCTTTTTAAAAATGAAAAAAAGTTTACTGAACCCTAAATTAAAGTTCCATTTGGCCCAAAAATGTTTTAAAACCCTTTATAGGATGATTTTCCCAAATTGGGTACAAGACCCCTGATTTTGGGGTCACAAGGTCAAAGGTCAAAGTCACTATTACCTGAAAACTGAAAAACAGTTTCCGGAACATAACTTAAGTTCCATTTGGCCCACAATGTTCAAACTTCTTAGGAGGAAAGGTATTTAAGATAGGTAATAATTTATTTAATTCCCATGTCTTTTAAATGCTTCATCCTTACTAAAAAAACACTTTCGGGCATATATTGCTCCGCCTAGCTGTGCTCTTGTTAGAACTATAACTCTGACAGAACTGATCATACGGTTCTGACATGCTGTCTAGGTAATAAATAACACATAAACCGTAGATTAGACGAATTGAAGTGTTAAATTGTTGAAATGTTTAGGTGTAGAAAATGCTGTTTGGTTTCTGAAGGTGTCTTGTCTATTCCATAAACATATATCATTTGAGACAGATACAAATGATTTAAAGGGAAAAAGTAATATAAATCGAGAGTATTTCATTTTCAGTGAATATGCTATAGATCTTACTGATGCACAGCGCAAGTGAAAATACGTATTTCTTTCTCAAGTCGATCGAGATAACTTCATAATTTAATTTATATACGACGGACGTTCAGAAAATATCCGGACTTTTCATGCTCCTCTCTTTCCACGTGCAGCTGTATACACATATTATATATTGGTGAAAACTACATTCATTCGCCAATAACGTGGTCAGATTATTTTTAATGATAGTTGTGTATACACAGTATTTTGTCCTCTGATATATGATAGGTGATTCGTCTATCATGGACTCTTTGTTAGAGGAACAACGCTCTGTAAAAAAAATTCTGGTTGCAGAAGGTGAAAAGCCCTGCCACATCTTTCAGAGGCTTAAAAAGAGATTTTCTGATAAATGTGTATCACGTTCAACCTTCTACAACTGGGTTTCTCAGATTCGTGAAGGCAGAACAAGTGTTTGTGACAGGCCTAGAACTGGGAGGCCAGCTGAGGCGGTGACCCCAACTATGGTAGCAAATGTTAAAGCTTTTGTCAACAAAAATCGCCGAGTAACTTTGGAGGAGGTAGCCAACAAGTTTAGCATCGATAAGGCATCGGCACACAATATTTTACACGAACACCGAGGCATGAGCAAGGTAAGTGCCAGGTGGGTGCCTAGACAGCTGTCCGCAGATCAAAAGGCAACCAGAGTAACCAATGCAAAAGAACATTTAAGTCGTTTAAATCTTGAAGGAGATACGTTTTTGAACCGCATTATCACTGGAGATGAGATGTGGGTTCATTATTCCGAACCTGAGACAAAAGCTCAGTCAAAGCAGTGGAAACGCGCTGGTTACTTCACCTCCTAAAAGTGTAAGCTGTCTCCTTCGGCTGGCAAAGTCATGCTTGTTGCCTACTGGGATTCACGAGGAATGATACTTACTCATTTCATGCCAAAAAGAGAAAAGCTTAAGCAAATGCGTGCCAGGTTAGCACAGAAAAATGTCCTCCTTCTTCACGATAACGCCCCCTCCCATACCGCCGCAGCTACAGTGAAGGTTATCAACTCTTACAAATGGCAATTGTTGTCTCACCCTCCTTATAGCCCAGACCTCGCCCCATATGACTTTTATTTGTTTCCAGAACTGAAAGAATTGCTTGCTGGAAAGAAATATAAGACTAGGGCGGCTTTGATATCTGCTGTTACACATTACCTAAAACATAGTTCTACGTCATGGTTCACAGCGGGAATACAAAAGCTCCCACGAAGATGGCAAAAGTGCGTAGACGTAGGTGAAGAATATTTTGAAAAAGAGTAGAAAGATTTTTTTTTAAATGTTGAATGGTTTTCGAGAACGAGTCAAAAGTCCGGATATTTTCTGACTTCCCCTCGTTTTTCCAAAAAAAAAATAGACTCAACATACATTTCATGGCAGGAAAAAATGTGTATTTTAATCACATAATTACCATATGTATAATGCATGTATATGCAAAATAATGCTTTATTTAACAACAAATATTGTAATAAACTAGCATATGGAAAACATGACATAATGGTTCCATTATACGAAAAATAAAAAAAAAATGTGCATTAACCCTCTATTATACCATTTCTCTGTTTTACACAGTTTTGAAATAGAGAGAAATAAAGAATCCTTAAAGAAAACACAAAACGACAAAATTAAAATGTTTTAACCGGCTTCAAATATATGGTAACGCATTATTAGTATGGTTTCAGTCTTCTTAGTTTTACCTATTACCTGATGGTGATAATTATATAAAGTTTCCGATGTCAAGTAAATATGATATTCTTTTGGGCCCTACCAATGAATTTGTATGCGGGCTTGTATGATGGCATACTTTTATTCTTTTATTGATCATAAAGTAATTGTAATCGCTTTAGATTGTTTATACTTCATCTAAGTGTGGTTTGATTTTTGTAGAGAGAGAGAGAGAGAGAGAGAGAGAGAGAGAGAGAGAGAGAGGGAGAGAGAGAGAGAGAGAGGTTGGGGTCATTATTTTAGATACACCCCCTTGTTATATTCAAAACAGCAGTTGAAAATGTCACGTGACAGAGGTGTAAAGTAAAGTCAGTTTTGTCATAATATTATGTCTTTCTGACACATTATCACTTTATATTAAAAAAGGGCGTGTCAATTAAATGCAGCGTAAGTTTAGGGGCGTGAGAGATGTTGTAGTTTTCGTTATTAATCATGTAAATCATATATATTTTCAAAACATGCTTTCGAGGTTACCCTCCGTTTTTTTAGACCCAAAATGATATAATAACGACATATCCATAGTATTTGGTAAAGTAAGTCTGAATACACAAGAAAGTCGATTTGAACTTATTTTGGTGTAAGTGAAGTCAGTTTACCGCGTTATCAAATTGCATGCTTATTGTTACGTATTTCCCTAGATAACACAAAACAAAACCATGCAACATTATTGGTAAAAAAACGAAATTAATGCGAAACTTAAATGAATAAAAATTAAAATGTATTTTACATTACAAGGGGGCAGAAAGAAAAATGGCATTTTGTGGTGGTACATTGATATCCCAGCGATTCGTGATAACTGCTGCTACTTGTATAATCAACTTTAACCCAACATTTGGTGTTCCTTTTTCGGCAGAAAATGTAGAAATTTTACTTGGTAAAATGTATTTTGTTTTATTAATTCAAGTGAAAGAAAGTAATTGAAATCATATTCAAGTTGTAAATACTATTCACAAAATAGTTTCTTACTTTCATACAAAATTAACTTTATTGTTTTTGACCAAGCATTTAAACGTCATACAAAGCTTTCTATTCCAACAGATATGTTTTCCCATAGTCAAGGTGTTGTAGGTTTACAAATAAAGTATACAAAGACCATCTTTTTTAGTACCAGTGAGCTAAGGGATGACATAAATGCATTTTTAAGCCATAATAAAACATAAAGATAATATTTTCACAACACTAAATATAACTAAAGGATAATATTTGATATTTCAAGACATTGAAATTATGTTAGACTACAAAATTTAATACTAGTATATGTTTCATATTTGAAAGGAAATGAATGTTATTTTTTAACAATATCTTTCTTCTTAATGAATTCAGGTACAACAGATTGTACAGGAACTCAGAATGATGGGACGAGAAGAACAATACAAAGTTTTACTGTTCATCCAGATTATGGAGACAGACACGTTTATGATAATGATATAGCATTGATAGAACTGGACTCTTTGGTTGAATACACCGATGATATACGTCCTATATGTCTTGAACCTGCAGACTTCAATGACAGGGTGTTCCTAGAAATGAGTGGTTCAATTGGCCGTGTAATTGGGAAAGTCGCTGGCTGCGGTGTAACCAGAAGAAGCGTCTTTCCCTCGAGATTGAGGGTAATTATTTTTGATATGAATACTAAGATTCAGACCATGTGAATGATATTTTCTTACATTCGATATTAAGTATGTGGTAAAATGTTAAAAGTTTTAACGCTATAATAGTTAAAATAGAGAAAATAAGAATCCCTAAAAAGAAGTTCAAAACAACAAATTAAATTGAAAATGATACCGGCTGGGTTTGATTGAGCCTATTCATAGATGGTACTGTAAAGAGCAAACTACCGTTCGCGCCGTCTAGGATCGGCCTCAGCAAAGTTCATTATTTAAACATTAAGATGGTGAAATCATGCATTAAGAAATATCTGCAGATGTGTTATTTTATTCCTGTGTTATATACAACGATGTCTTGCAGTCGCCTGCTACAGGGTACTGTTACTCCTCAACTACTGGTGCAACACAGGAACACCAACTATGATCTAAGCAGTACCCCAAACAAAAATAGTACACGGCGCAAGTCAAAGCACGGACAGGATGATTAATTTAATAATATATAATTGGAAATAATAGAAACCGACAAGGAAAACTAATTACGGCCTAGCTAGAAAGTAAAAGGGAACTCAAGGGTCGGGGAAGGAGTGGGGGATTTAAAAAAATAAAACAAAAATAGGGACAAAAGGGAAGATACTTACCGTAGACGATAAAACAGCAAGGGAAACAAATAATACACTCGTACACTATTATACACTCAGAGGCACTTATAACCGACACTTACATTTTTCGGTATAAATTGGTTGGTTATTTCTGGGCGAATTTTGTTCAAATTTGGACCTTACAAATTCAACATATCATACTTACTACTTAGAATATTATTTACAATTCATTGTCAAAAAGATAATAAAAAATAGAAAAACTGATGGTAGTATGAATCAAAAAGCGACACATACATCTGAGGAACACAGATGGGTGCCGCTTTGGAACGGTCAGGAGTATTTGCACTGCTTGAGTTTCAACCGGTTAATTGTAACCAAACCCCACCATTAGTTCCAACATGTCCCTTTTAAACGAGACACCGTAAATAAGATGAATCCCCGCCAAGTGAAATTCTAATAGTTGTTATAGTTACAAAAGATAAAATAAGTAAAACATTGAAAAGCTCATGTAGATACATATTAAAGTAAACCCAATGTCCATAACAAGGGTACTCAATGTCTTAAAGTGAGAGAGAAACAAGAAAAACACCAATAAGGGCCCGACGAAGCAAAGAGAAGCCGAAAATAAAGACAATTTAGTCCCAATGGGTTTTGAGAACTGTCCATCACAAAGTATCCCACTTGATCTGTCACATGTAATCGAAAGAAGAAAGCGTAGAGTCCAACTGTAAAATGGTTCAACACTCAGCATGCGGTATGTCTTAAAATAGTTGTGCCATAACCTCTCTAAAAAAACTGTTCAATAATTTTAATAAAGACAGCATTAAAATTACCATAATGCAAGATCTTACAAAGTCTTTAAATCACATCCCCATTAAAATCAGGCTTGCTAGTCCCTAGTCGCAGAAGTCTTTTTAAACCACTATTGAAATCAAATCAAAATTACTATTGAACAAAATTATGAAATATTTCTGTAATTTAGGATAGCAGTAGCCCTGTTTGTGAAGCTTGCTAGTATAAAAATATTTCGCAAAAATATTTCGCTCATTAAAATCCTTTCGTTGCCTAAAGAACCAGCGACTATAATTAACTGGGATACATATACCCCATATGATGTTGCAGGGGTGGGTTACGTCTCCATCTAAATGTAGATAATTTTTGATAGCAAAATCAAAGTCATCTCTCTTATCATATACTTTCGTGTGAATGGTATTGTTGTTGACAGTAAATTGTAGATCCAAAAATAATGTCCTAAATTTCAAAAAATTCGTTTTATTTAGGTGTAGTTCATTGAAATAAATATTAGACACCATTTGATCAAAATTAGAATAATGTAGATTAAAAATATCATCAAGATATCGGGAAGTGTTATTAAATGCTACTTTAACATCGTGCTGTGTATCTTCACAGAGACTCAAACAAGTCTAGTTTTGCATATCGTCGGCATTTTCCAGTTAAATGATTTCTGTCAGAGTTATGGCCCTTTTATGATTTTTTAAGTTTGTACGGACTTCTTCTCTTATACCAGAAATGCTTGTTTGTTTGTCTAATTGGTTTGGTTTTCGGCACACCATAACTATTCAAGTCAAATGGCGCCGAAATAGATAAGATGATTTTTGCTAACCTCAGGTGTTAAAAAACAAAGTAACACCCTGGGTCAAAACCACCCTACCTGCTGGATCTAAGGGATGCATAGACTAGTATACTACTAGTAGTATCAAACCCATTTAGTCGCATATACCTTTCACGCAGAGGTCAACGGTGGCTGCATCAATTCTTAAAGGACACCCTTCAGGTACCAGTAACGCAACTAAAATGTACCTTTACAAGATAAATGTGTAGCTCAAGTAATCTCGCAAATATTATGTGTTCGCGACTGAACGGTTTTCGTGAAAAAAAAGAAAAACGCGTTTTGGCCTGTTAATGGCCTGTTAATATTAGTAGCAAATGCGTGCTACAAAGTATTCACGATTTATAAGGAATACGTCTTCGTTGACGGTATGTCTGTCCTTATTTCTACTTGTCTGTCCGTCTCAAAACTTGTACAACTCCTAAAAAACTACTGGTGCAATTTATCTGCATTTACTAGTTCCACGATTTTTTGTAAGAAAAAAAACCTTTAATTCTTTTACAAAAAACTCTGCACGTAAATATTTTAACGCAATTTGAATGAAACTTTACAGGACTGATCAATACCTTGTCTTTTTAGGCATATTTAAAAGTATTTCAGCTTGAAATATTTTTGGATGTGTAATGGCCGTTGAATAAAAAACGTTTTCGCATGTGTATAATTTTAGTGTATCCTACTGTTCAGCTACAAAGTATCTTCGACATAGTTACATGGAACAAACTGTTCAATCATCCGTCAATACAACGGCTGGGGCGGCACATGTGATCACTGATTGCTGTTGTTGATTACAAAATAAGTAATGAAAAAAGAAATATTACAAAATTATAAAAGATCAATGACTGGATTTCACCTAATTAGCAGGCTATAAAATACAATCGTTGTAAACATAATATATTGTAACAGTTTCAACAAATTTTATGATATAAACAATCTTTTTATTAAATGAAATACTCAAATTGGCATTTTACACTACAAAATAACGTCAAAATAACTCTTTTTATTTGGACTAAGACCTTTATGTTAATAGGAATTCGTATATATTATATGCATAATTTTGCCATATTTCCAAAAAGCAGCACGTATTTGTAATAAACAGACTTACATAAGATTCAGGTAGAACTGCGTGTATAACTGTAAATTTATAAATGGAAGCTACACAGTGATGATAACAATGCTTAATTTATGGATAACACAAACAGAATTAAAACTCGATAATTACAAATGAATTGTTTAAAAAAATGTAGATTGGATAACATCAGTCAGTTGCAAAACCTCAGCAACAATCGTAATAATTACACTGCCTATTTAGAATCACGTTCATGCTTAACTTTGATATTTTAAATATGAATTTAAGGATTTTTATTCAGTTGAAATATAGTTTAATAAATTTGATAACATTTACCTATTGCATATTATAGGATGTATATATTCCGTATGTAGACAGAGAAACATGTCTTGATTCATTGGGCCAGTGGCGCGATAAACTAACTGACACGATGTTTTGTGCCGGGAGTAATGTAAGTATATATATAATGTAAGTTTTGTGCGACCGAAAAATAATAAAAAATAATTTTATGCGCTGATTTTGTAGCTTTAGGTGGATTGAATTTTCACACAATGTTTTGTTTTATTATTTATTATGCTCCCCGAAAAATTTCGTGGGACCATATAGTCGTCGGGTTGTCCGTCCGTCCGTCAGTCCGTACGTACGTCCCGAATTCGTGTCCGGCCCATAACTTTGTTATTTGAAGTCGGATTTTAAAACTATTTAACAGAAATGATCACCATATTGAGACGACGTGTCGCGCGCAACATTTGGCTCGCTACCTTGAAGGTAAAGGTCACAGCATGACCTTGCAGCAAAATCGTGTCCGGTCCATAACTTCATTATTTGAAGTCGGATTTTAAAAATATTTCAGAGAAATGATCACCATATTGAGACGACGTGTCGCGCGAAAATTTGGGTCGCTACCTTGAAAGTCAATGTCACAGCATGACCTTGTAGCAAAATCGTGTCCGGTCCATAACTTCGTTATTTGAAGTCGGATTTTCAAACTATTTCACAGAAATGATCACCATATTAAGACGACGTGTCGCGCGCATTTTTTGGCTCGCTACCTTGAAGGTCACTGTCACAGCATGACCTTGCAGCAAAATCGTGTCCGGCCTATTTCTTTGTTATTTGAAGTCGGATTTAAAACGTTTTCACAGAAAAGATCACCATAATGAGACGACGTGTCGCACGCAACATTTGGGTCGCTACCTTGAAGGTCAAGGTCCCAGCATGACCTTGCAGCAAAATCGTGTTCGGTCCATAATTTCGTTATTTAAAGTCGGATTTTAAAACTATTTCACAGAAATGATCACCATATTGAGACGACGTGTTGCGCGCAACATTAGGGTCGCTTCCTTGAAGGTCAAGGTCACAGCATGACCTTGCAGCAAAATTGTGTCCGGCCCATAACTTTGCTATTTGAAGTCGGATTTTAAAACGTTTTCACAGAAATGATCACCATATTGAGATGACGTGTCGCACACAACATTTGGGTCGCAACCTTGAAGGTCAAGGTTACAGCATGACCTTGCAGCAAAATCGTGTTTGGTCCATAATTTCGTTATTTAAAGTCGGATTTTAAAACTATTTCACAGAAATGATCACCATATTGAGACGACGTGTCGCGCGCAACATTTGGCTCGCTACCTTGAAGGTCAAGGTCACAGCATGACCTTGCAGCAAAATCGTGTCCGGTCCATAACTTCATTATTTGAAGTCGGATTTTAAAAATATTTCAGAGAAATGATCACCATATTGAGACGACGTGTCGCGCGAAAATTTGGGTCGCTACCTTGAAAGTCAATGTCACAGCATGACCTTGCAGCAAAATCGTGTCCGGTCCATAACTTCGTTATTTGAAGTCGAATTTTCAAACTATTTCACAGAAATGATCACCATATTAAGACGACGTGTCGCGCGCGTTTTTTGGCTCGCTACCTTGAAGGTCAGTGTCACAGCATGACCTTGCAGCAAAATCGTGTCCGGCCTATTTCTTTGTTATTTGAAGTCGGATTTTAAAACGTTTTCACAGAAATGATCACCATAATGAGACGACGTGTCGCACGCAACATTTGGGTCGCTACCTTGAAGGTCAAGGTCCTAGCATGACCTTGCAGCAAAATCGTGTTCGGTCCATAATTTCGTTATTTAAAGTCGGATTTTAAATCTATTTCACAGAAATGATCACCATATTGAGACGACGTGTTGCACGCAACATTAGGGTCGCTTCCTTGAAGGTCAAGGTCACAGCATGACCTTGCAGCAAAATTGTGTCCGGCCCATAACTTTGCTATTTGAAGTCGGATTTTAAAACTATTTCACAGAAATGATCACCATATTGAGACGACGTGTTGCACGCAACATTAGGGTCGCTTCCTTGAAGGTCAAGGTCACAGCATGACCTTGCAGCAAAATTGTGTCCGGCCCATAACTTTGCTATTTGAAGTCGGATTTTAAAACGTTTTCACAGAAATGATCACCATATTGAGATGACGTGTCGCACACAACATTTGGGTCGCAACCTTGAAGGTCAAGGTCACAGCATGACCTTGCAGCAAAATTGTGTCCGGCCCATAACTTTGCTATTTGAAGTCGGATTTTAAAACGTTTTCACAGAAATGATCACCATATTGAGACGACGTGTCGCGCGCAACATTTGGCTCGCTACCTTGAAGGTTAAGGTCACAGCATGACCTTGCAGCAAAATCGTGTTTCCGTCCATAACTTCATTATTTGAAGTCGGATTTTAAAAATATTTCAGAGAAATGATCACCATATTGAGACGACCTGCGCGCGAAAATTTGGGTCGCTACCTTGAAGGTCAATGTCACAGCATGACCTTGCATCAAAAATCGTGTCCGGTCCATAACTTCGTTATTTGAAGTCGGATTTTCAAACTATTTCACAGAAATGATCACCATATTAAGAAAACGTGTCGCGCGCGTTTTTTGGCTCGCTACCTTGAAAGTCAGTGTCACAGCATGACCTTGCAGCAAAATCGTGTCGACCAATTACTTTGTTATTTGAAGTCGGATTTTAAAACGTTTTCACAGAAATGATCACCATAATGAGACGACGTGTCGCACGCAACATTTGGGTCGCTACCTTGAAGGTCAAGGTCACAGCATGACCTTGCAGCAAAATTGTGTCCGGCCCATAACTTTGCTATTTGAAGTCGGATTTTAAAACTATTTCACAGAAATGATCACCATATTGAGATGACGTGTCGCGCACAACATTTAGGTCGCAACCTTGAAGGTCAAGGTTACAGCATGACCTTGCAGCAAAATCGTGTCCGGCCCATAACTTCGCGCTATTTGAAGTCAGATTTTTTAACTATTTCACAGAAATGATCACCATATTGAGATGACGTGTCGCGCACAACATTTGGCTCGCTATCTTGAAGGTCAATGTCACAGCATGACCTTGCAGCAAAATTGTGTCCGGCACATAACTTCATTATTTGAAGTCGGACTTAACAACTATTTCACAGAGATGATCACCATATTGAATCGACGTGTCGCATGCAACATTTGGGTCACTACCTTGAAGGTCAAGGTCACAGCATGACCTTGCAGCAAAATCATGTCCGGCCCATAACTTCGTTATTTGAAGTCAGATTTTACAACTATTTCACAAAAATGATCACCATATTGAGACAACTTTTTTACAGAAATGATCACCATAATGAGACATTGTGTCGCACGCAACATTTGGGTCGCTACCTTAAAGGTCAAGGTCACAGCATGACCTTGCAGCAAAATCGTGTCCGGTCCATAACTTCGTTTCTTGTAGTCGGACTTAACAACTATTTCACAGAGATGATCACCATATTGAATTGACGTGTCACATGCAACATTTGGGTATCTACCTTGAAGGTCAAGGTCACAGCATGACATTGCAGCAAAATCATGTCCGGCCCATAACTTCGTTATTTGAAGTCAGATTTTACAACTATTTCACAAAAATGATCACCATATTGAGACAATGTGTCGTGCACAACATTTGGGTTGTTTTTACACTTTGAACTTTGCCTGTGACATAACTGTGACACTACAAGAGGTGTACCTTCCTGTGTCCAAAACCTATTCGGGGAGCATCACCCGGTTCAACCGGCTCTTGTTTCTTTTTATGGAATACCACAAACATTTATTATATATTTAATATACACAGGTTATCTTGACGTTAACAAATACAATGTAGATATTAAAAAGCAGTTACAAATATTTTTAGTGGAAAGCCACAATGTTATTAACTGGAAATTTAAAATTTAACTGTACGATTTTTTTATTTTTACAATATTTAAAAAATGGTTTTGTTTTAAACTGACAAATAAAATTTTAACATTTTTGTTTTTTAAATAACAAAATAACCAATCAGGTATTAATACAAAATAATGTAACATAGCAACATATAATTTATAACAACAATTATTACCTGAACATTTTATTAGTAATAAGGTTTAACAACTTATTAAGGTATGAGGATCGACCCTAATGGGCACTATCAGAAACTAAAAAATTGACATCATAGGTCAGATGTATACCATAAAGTACACCTGTATGCAAAATTTAAACAAAGTTTACCGTACGGAAATCAAACATTCCCAATATTTTAAAAAGGTATATTGGTTGATCTTGTAAAATATGAAATACTTTTACCGTCTAGTTTTGATTATATTACACTTTGAAAATATCAGGTACCATATTTATTACTAGATTAAGCATAATTTAGCCAATAAATACCTATATAAATTAAAAAATCTAAATTAAACACTTTTTTCTTTCCAAATGGGACATGAGAGATACATAAATAATGTTAAAAGAAAAAAAAGAAAGAAAAAAAAGTTGACCCTTCTGGGGATTGAACCCATGGCCCCTCATTTTCAATGTAGTTAACAGTATTTCTAGCCTATTTGAATACTCTTCAAAGCGGAGGTAATGCATTAGGGTGCTAATACCTTAAGTACAGACGCCTAAATTGACATTATTAGCTAAATATAATAAAACTTTTAGCACCATTAATTAAACAAGAAGAAAAAGCCACATTTATTTTTTTTTGGTTACATAATTATAAATTTAACATTTATTGTTAAAACATATAGTACCGGTAACTGAACATATTTAAAATTTAACACATTGTTTTAAAAGTATAACCTTTTAAAAAATGATTATATTTATAAATATTTGTGTATAAAATAAATTATTATGCATATTTATTTATTTTTTTTGTAAAAGGTTTTTATTATTTTTCGGCCGCACAACATAAGTATATAAACATATATTTGTAAGAATTGGTTTCATCACATTGAACATACTTTACGTTGGATGCTTTTATTTTGTAAAATGGGTTCTTTTAGATATATTGGGAAATGTCAGACAATTGACCAGGTTAGGGTTGTATAGGACACGAACAGTTTTTAATCTATAAAAGCCTAGTAATGTTTCAAATTAATTTTGCTCATATCTCAAATCACTCATTAACACTCCACAAACACATAGATAAAACACTCATCTGGCATATCTGGCATATTTTCTATTTCTTTGAAAAAATATTATAAACATTATCACAAGAATGCCTAATGTAAATAGTTGGATATTTAACCACAGCTTAGCTGCCATAGCAAATATATTCTAATTTACAAGAATAACCTATCTTCGTAAAATATTTATATTTGGCAGTCTATATTTTTTTCTCCCAAATTAAAGATTGCTAGAACTGGAGACAGTTGCCTGGGGGACAGTGGAAGCGGCTTAATCATGGCAACAAGCACAAGATGGGTTCTTACTGGAGTCGTTTCCTGGGGCAGAGGATGTGATATAGATAAGCACTACGGTATTTACACAAACGTTGGCATGTTCTATGATTGGATCGAGAGCGTAACAAAATTTAACGAAGAGGAGGTGCCAGACTTTATCAAACATAATTGATATTAAATAGTGAATATTTGTTGACTTGTCGACTTGTTTGTGCCAAGTATAAGTATTATATGATCCTAGCCATCAAGCATTTCAGCAAGATTACCAATCCCCAGTACCAATTTATTATGCTTTTGGACATATGTAATTATACAAAGCGAATTTTAGGAAGTAAATAAACTAATGTCAGATTTCATTCATTGTTGCTTTTTTTCTTCTAATAATTCATCTTAAAGCATAATAAAACACAAATCGCACATGTTTAGGTAACGAAGATTAAATAGATTATTTAACAAACTACTCATAACCAATTATGGAAATTCAGCACAATAATTGTGAAGGAAGTTTGTTACTTGAAAATTGCTACATGAAAGATAATCGTAATTGAAACAAGTATCATAGTATTGCAAGCAATCCATAAGTCCCCTACCGGCTAAAACCCCAGCAACATTCTGATGGGCTATTGGCCATTCAATTATGCCATTGAATGAATGAATGACATGAATGAACTTAAATCTTTTGAATTCTAAGTTTGTCTATATCATACTAATGTGTTAAGTTTCCCTGCCTAGTAAGGAAATTGTGTTTATACAACAGATAATCAAAAGGTCAAATTTTCTCAGGATGAATAAGTATAACTAATGTTTCAACTTTTCTCTATTTTTATGAACAGACAGACAGACAGACTGAAGGAGACTCTAAAGTTATTTTTTTAAACATCCATGTTACCAAAGTATAACATTTTTTAAAGCAAAATTCTAAAAGAGGAGATAGTTCTTTGAAATAAAGATGCCAGATTTATGAACATTGTCATACATGTGTGAGTGTAACAAAGAACAATTATTTTAAGTTTAAAGATAGCGTTTACATAATTTATAGTCACAAAGAAGAAAAGTAAAAAATAACAATTTTCAAATATACCATTAAAATGTAAAGTAGCAAACTTTCACAGAAGCTTTGTCATCAAGTGCCCTGGCGCATATTGTCGGGGTTTTGTGATTAGATTATATTTGACCTAATTATGGCCCTTTGTTTTTTTCCCTTTTATAGAATATATAGTGAACAATTTCTTCTGTGCGCAACTCCTCCTACATTTCTCAACGGATTTTGACAGAACTTTCACAGAAGCTTTGTCATCAAGTGCCCTGGGGCATATTGTCCGGGTTTTGCGATTTGATAATATTTGACCTAATTATGGCCCTTTGATTTTTTTCCCTTATAAAGAATATATAGTGAACAATTTCTTCTGTGCGCAACTCTTCCTACATTTCTCCACGGATTTTGACAGAACTTTCACAGAACCTTTGTCACCAAGTGCCCTGGAGCATATTGTCAGGGTTTTGGGATTGGATAATATTTGACCTAATTATTGCCCTTTGTTTTTTCCTTATACAGAATATATAGTGAACAATTATATCGTGCGCAACTTCTCCTACATTTCTCAATGGATTTTGACCAAACTTTCACAGAAGCTTTGTTATCAAGTGCCCTGGTGCATATTGTCGAGGTTTTGTGATTGGATAATAATTGACCTTATTATGGCCCTTTGTTTTTTAGCTCGACTATTCGATAAGAATAAGTAGAGCTATTGCAGTCACCCGAGCGTCGGCGTCGGCGTCAGCGTCCACGTCGGCGTAACCACTTATGTTAAAGTTTTTGTAATAGTTCAAATATTTTCAAAGTCCATTGACATATGGCTTTGAAACTTTGCACACTTGTTCACCATCATGACCCCAACCTGTAGACAGGAGGAGGTAACTTTATCAAGCATTTTGACAGAATTATGCCCCTTTTTCGACTTAGAATTTATGTTAAAGTGTTTGTAATAGTTCAAATATATTCAAAGTCCATTGACATATGGCTTTGAAACTTTGCACACTTGTTCACCATCATGACCCCAACCTGTAGACAGGAGGAGGTAACTCTATCAAGCATTTTGACAGAATAATGCCCCTTTTTCGACTTAGAATTTATGTTAAAGTTTTTTTAATACCTTAAATATTTTCCAAGTCCATTGACATATGGCTTTGAAACTTTGCACACTTGTTCACCATCATGACCCCAACCTGTAGACAGGAGGAGGTAACTGTATCAAGCATTTTGACAGAATTATGCCCCTTTTTCGCCTTAAAATTTATGTTAAAGTTTTTGTAATACCTCAAATATTTTCAAAGTTCATTGACATATGGCTTTGAAACTTTGCACACTTGTTCACCATCATTACCCCAACCTTTAAACTGGAGGAGGTAACTGTATCGAGCATTTTTTTTTAACTATCAAGCACTAAGAATAGTCGAGCGTTGCTGTCCTACCGACAGCTCTTGTTTTCCTTATACAGAATTATCAATATATAGTGAACAAATTCTTCTGTGCTGAACTCGTCCTACTTTTCTCAACGTATTTTGTTCAAACTTTCACAGAAGCTTTGTCATCAAGTGTCATGGCACATATTGTAGGGTTTTGTGATTAGATAATTTTTGACCTAATTATGGCCCTTTAATTTGTTTTTTTTTCCTTATACATAATATATAGTGAACACTTCTTCAGTGGCAATTCCGACATTATTCATGTTTTACATTGCACATAGTTACATTGTTTGTTGCTTGTATTTGTATTTCAAATACAACATATTTATCTACAATGGTGATAATTGAAAACCTGGTTTCATGGCATTGCCATGTTTCTTGTTATTTGATATAACAAGTTTTGGTTATGAAAAGAAATTTTGTTTGGTCAATCGAACAAACTAATAAGATGTTTGCCCTTTTTGTTCGATCGACCAAACAAAATATTTATTTGAAATTTTTCATTTATTTAACCAGTTTTGGAAATGAAAAGAAATTTTGTTTAATCGATCGAACAAAATATTATATGTATTTGTTCGATCGATCGAACAAAATTTTTAATTGTTTTTGTACAGTTTGATAGAGAAATTTTCCAATACAGTGCTTGAACAGTTTTGTTCGATCGATCAAACAAAATATATATTTGTTCGATCGATCGAACAAAATGTTAATTTTTTTAGTACAGATTGTGAGAGAAATTTTCAAATACAGTGTTTGAACATTTTTGTTCGATCGATCGAACAAAATGTTTGTTTTAAATTTCATTTGATTTAACAAGTTTTTGTGATGAAATGAAATTTTGTTCGATCGATCGAACAAAATATATATTTGTTTGATCGATCGAACAAAATGTTAAATTGTTTTTGTACAGTTTGAGAGAGAAATTTTCCATTACAGTGCTTAAACAGTTTTGTTCGATCGATCGAACAAAATTTTTATTTTAAATTTTTAATTTATTAACCAGTTTTGGAAATGAAAAGAAATTTTGTTTGAACGATTTTATTAACCAGTTTTGAAAATGAAAAGAAATTTTGTTCGAACGATCGAACAAAATATATATTTGTTCGATCGATCGAACAAAATGTTAATTTTTTTTAGTACAGATTGAGAGAGAAATTTTCAAATACAGTGTTTGAACATTTTTGTTCGATCGATCGAACAAAATGTTTGTTTTAAATTTCATTTGATTTAACAAGTTTTTGTAATGAAATGAAATTTTGTTCGATTGATCGAACAAAATATATATTTGTTCGATCGATCGAACAAAATATATATTTGAATGATTGATCGAACAAAATGTTAAATTGTTTTTGTACAGTTTGAGAGAGAAATTTTCCATTACAGTGCTTGAACAGTTTTGTTCGATCGCTCGAACAAAATTTTTATTTTAAATTTTTAATTTATTAACCAGTTTTGGAAATGAAAAGAAATTTTGTTCGAACGATCTAACAAAATATATATTTGTTCGATCGATCAAACAAAATGTTAATTTTTTTAATACAGATTGAGAGAGAAATTTTCAAATACAGTGTTTGAACATTTTTGTTCGATCGATCGAACAAAATGTTTGTTTTAAATTTAATTTGATTTAACAACTTTTTGTTATGAAAAGAAATTTTGTTCGATCCATCAAACATAAATTAAGTAATAAGAGGTTTGTGCTTTTTGTTCGATCAGTCGAACAAAATATATATATTTGTTCGATCAATCGAACAAAATGTTTGTTATGTGTATTTATTCAATGTTTTTAGTCAAATTTTCAATAAAATTGAATGAAAAAAGAGCCACTTGTTCTTTTTTGTATTCACCATTTGTGAAAAATAACCCCAATATTTACACCCAAAAACCCTATTTTTAGGCTAAAAAGAGGGACTGATTGGACAATCACTTTTTATTTTGGAACGAGATCAAAGATGAAAATTAACAAACAAATAAATAACTATAATGTAGGTGTTGATAATCGGTACCACTAAAATACGCAACGGAGATTTTTTGGCGCAACGGACGCAACGGGCGCAACGGAGATATTTTTTTAGAAAAACCGGCACAACGCCTTTTTTAAAGTCAATGTGCTATATTTAAGCATCTAAAATGACTGTTTAGCACTATTAAGTAAGTATGTTTTAAAATGTTTCATAAATTGTATATGTTTAATTGCACTGAAGGGTTATATGCCTGGCGAAATGGAAATTTCATGGCGCAACGGAGATATTTTTTTAGAAAAAACCGACACAACGCCTTTTTTAAAGTCAATATGCTGTATTTCAGCATCTAAAATGATTGTTTATGGCACTTTTAAATAAGTATGTTTTAAAATGTTTCATAAATTGTATATGTTTACACTGAAGGATTATATAGGCCTAGCTTAATGGAAATTTCATTGCGCAACGGAGATAATTTTGTAAAATCGGCACAACGTATGTACTAATATATGAAATTAATTAACACCAATGTTATTTGAATAAATAAATCTAAAAAAAGATTTAAAAACCTTAATCGTATATCAAATAATCAAATTGCTGCAATGTTGATGTTGTAAAGGATTGTGTGTCGGCGAAATGGACATTTTGTCTGCGCAACGGAGATTTTTTTTTTGGGCGCAACGGAATTTAAAATGGCCTAATTAAGTAGTAATATGAAGAAGTAAATCATTATTTAAAGATATTAACTGAATTTTTGAAGTGGTGTAATAAAAGTCTGCTTTATTAATTTAAAAATGGAATTAGATACGTTTTTATCGTTATGGCTGACACTGGAAGACAAGTATGGAATTTACAATCTGTTTCATTTTTTCCCGTTCAATTCGTTATTTTTACGAAAAGTACTGTAATAGCTTTTCTATACATAATTT